GCCCACCCCACTCGACTCGCGATCTCATCTTAGTGGAGTATCTTCTTCGGGCGGCGCCACTTCAGCCAGTCTGTACACACGATCACACCTCAGTGGGGCCTCGAACACCACGGACACCAGTCCTGCGATGGGAGTCAGCACTAACGGTGCGGTTGGAGGCGGTATTGGTGGGGCAGTTGCCGCTTCAGACGGAGCTGGAGGAGAAAGAAGCACTCACTTCTGGCAGGACAGAGCAGAACTGGTGAAACTGTTGAATCATGATGGCTGGCCAGAGCCAGCCTCGTTTCCTAGAAAGGAATTGGCAATGGGAGCTCTGCTAGGTGAGGGAATATTTTTTCAGAAATCGCTGTATCAATACTGAGTAGCATTTTTCATTTGGTTTCAGACATTATGCTAACATGTGCTGATGTTAATTATCGGTATTGCGATGATTGCCACGATGTTAAGCAATTTTCGCGAGAATTGTGGCGTATGAAGAGTAACAATAGGAAAGAGCGAAATTCAGATTATATTCATTAAATGTAGATTTTCGAGATTATCTATAGATCTGGAAAAATAAGTAATATGTTGTCGATTTCTATAGCAAATATAGGTTTGCTTTGTCGATCATTACACCACAGAATGTGATATGGCAAAATGCCTGGCCTTCCCGGAAATTCACATCTGCCCTGTAACCAAAAGGCACTCGTGGCAATGTGGCGTAGTGGTTAACGTGTCGAAAGTGTCATGGGTGGCTGCTAATGAGACCTAGGCGAGTTCGGAACTTCATTTCACCCTGGATGAGAATATCTTTTGGGAAAGCAAGACAATGTCATGTGTATTTGTATCATTATGTGAGAATTCAACTTTCAAGTCCTTCATCATCTCAAACGGAATAGGGTGAACACAGTTCATATAAAAGGTCATATAAGGTGGTACAAACCTACGAAAATATACCTTATCTGATATAAGAAGTGTATTCACCCTATTTCATTTATGGTTGAATTTTCACACAATCATATGATTATGTCTCGTGTTCCCATCAAATATGACGTGGCCTTGCTTACCAAAAGTATCCTCAACTTTTATTAGATTTACTGGTAATCTCAAAAACCTACTTATAAAACGAAAAATAGTAATGTCATCAAGTGCTATAACAGACACAACTTTTCTTCGCTGAAAATCCCACCACAGAATTGTGATATGGGAAAGGCATAGGCCTCCTTGAAATTCACTCCGATCCTGTGAGCCAAGGGCACTCGTGGCGATGCGGTGTAGTGGTTAATGTGTCGAGAGTATACTCTGCACTACCAGGGTTCCAGTCCCGCTGGGGGTGCTGACGAAACACAGGCGAGGTCGAAATTGCAGTCCAGTCCAGTCCATCGTGAATAAGAATACCTTTTGGAAAACATGGCTTAGTTAAATTATACGAAGAAAAGTTGGGTTTCGAGGAACCTCTTTTTTCATAATTGTTGAGCTTACTTCCATTTTGAGTGGAAGTGTTAAGTAATGAGATTTGAAGGTCGGTTCCACTAGAAGACGACGGCGGATTCCTCTTGACCAGCTGTCGATTGGCTTTAC